TTAATCTCAGACCTATTTATTCATTTAAACATTTACTAGAGGAATGGCAAACTTACAAACTAAATTAATTCTCTTATGACAAATAGATGAAGCTCACTGTTATAAGTATTCTTCCCATTGACCTTCACTTGCCTTACGCACCATGCTTTTGGCCACCACCAATCAATCGGAGACAGTAACAAGAGAAAGATACTCTGTCATTCTTTGTACTATGCTTTGGGCCTTGTGCTGGGAGGATGGAGAAGAAAGTAATCTTCTAAATTTCTCCTGGCTTTAAGATTCTATGTTGAAACCTATCTAAATTCATTCATCTCCTTTTCTTTGTACAATATAGCCCCTCCACACACCTTAGGTCACCCTCAAGGCTTCCTAAGGACTGGCCTACTTTCCAAACTTCCACAGTGCTATCCCAAACTAACCTCCCAGTTGGCAAAGTAGGCAGTCACCTTGAGAGGGCAATTAGAGATGGCTAAAAGGATCACTTACAGCAAAATATTTTTTTCCACATGCTTGCCAGAGCCTGAGATTGTCCCTACTGGAGCCATTTATTTGGGTGAAGTCTATTGTGCTTTTATTTATTTTTTATTTTTTGGCGGTACTGGGTACTCAGGGTGTTGTTATGTATGCGAGACAAGCACTGTACCAACTGAACTATATCCCCCAGCCCACACTACTGTGCCTTTAAAAGAAGTTAATCTAAGATACAAACATGTGATACGAGGGCAAAGACTCATCTACAAGCATATTCGTCATAGTATGAGTTATAATATTAAAAGGTTAGAATTATGTCTAATAATGAAAAAAAACAGTTGAATTATGATACATTTATGAACTAGAACTATATGACTATTTAAAATTTTGAACAACAGTGAATAATAATACAAAATAGTATTTAAAAATGTAATTGATGTCCCCACTGAAAAATTTTCTCATTTGTGTGCCAGCTCTGTGGAAGAATAGATATATGAAATAAGGTTCAAAATGCTATTTGAAAGTATAATTAATATACTTATTGATTACAATCAGTAATTCATAAATCAACTGTTGTGTTTTTTTTTTTTTTTGTAAATCATCTATTTCTTTAGCCTAGGTTTGAGTTTCTAGTATGTTTAGATTCAAGGGTGAAAATTAAGTGCCTTATAAACCAGGATGATTTTTTTTCTCTATTAGCTGGACACTACTCTATTTTGTGTTGTAATGTGACTTTGTTTTTGACTCTTTATTTTATGATACTTAGATCTTGAAGCAACATGGAATGAGCACTGGCCTTGGATCTAGATACATTCAGTTCCAAATTCTGTCTTCATCTTTTAGCAGTTTTGTGACTTTGAGAAATTTACCTTCTCTGAGCTTTGGTTTTCTCATCTGTAAAAAAAATGGATAATATCTACTTCTCAGGGGAGGGAGAATTAATAACATCACAAGGGCAAAGTGCTTCAAACAGGGCTCATGAAAATGGGTACTTAACTTATGTTGTTGTTGTTTTTTTTTAATTCTTGGCTGGGCTCAGTGGCACGGTTCAGTGGCACACCTAAGTGGTACAGTTCAGTGGCACAGCTCGGTGGCACAGGCCCATAATCCCAGCGGCTGGGGGGTTGGGAGGTGGGGCTGAGGCAAAGGGATCATGAGTTCAAAGCCATCCTCAGCAACTTAGTGAGGCCCTAAACAACTCAATGAGATTCTGTCTCTAAATAAAATACAAAAGCAGGCTAGGGATGTGACTCAGTGGTTAAGTGTTCCTGGATTCAATTCACAGTCTCATAAAAATTTTTTTTAAAAAGCCAACAACAACAAAAGCTTAGGGTAAGGGATATTGCTCAATAGTAATGTGCTTGCCTAGAATGTAGGAGATCCTGGGTTTGATCCCTAGTACTGCAAAAAACAAAACCACAATAAAAATACCTCTACTGCCAGGTATTCCCAGCTATTCTCGGGAGGCTGAGACAGGAGGGTTGCAAGTTCAAACTTGGACTCGGCAACTTAGCAAAGCCCTGAACAACTACTAAATAAAACAACTCTAAATAAAATACAAAAAGAGGGCTGGAGATGTGGCTTAGTGGTTAGGGACCCCTGGATTCAATCCCTCTCTGGTACAAAAACAAACAAACAAACAAACAAAAACTCTACTTAGGTGAAGGTGATGTTAATGTTGAAGAACTTTCAAAAAGTTTATATTTATGGTGGAAATAAAAAAAGAATATTCATATAAGTAAACACTGCTTTCTTTCTTTTTTGATTTAAATATTGTTTTATTTACAGTTAATGTACTCAACATGCAATACAAAGCTAATAATCACTAGTCATCTGCTTTGGATAGACATTTTATTCCCAAACAGCCATTACCATAAATTTATGTAAAATATATAGGACTCCACTAGACCCAGCATGACAAGACCTTATGCCTCTGATCACATGGGAAAAAGGATAGACTGCTATGCTGACACCAATAGGTCCAGTTTGGATTCTAGCTCAGTTAAACACTGCTTTCTGCAGGCAATATTTTAATATTTTATGACCCAACACTTCGGTACCAGATAGACTGGTTCAAATCCTAATCCTGACAGTCCTAGTTGTATAAACTTGAGAAAGTCTCACCCTTGTAAGCCTCAGTTTCCTCATTTATAAAACAGGAATAATAACAGTAGCCACCTCATGGATTGAAGTGATAATTAAATATACTTCGTATTTAGTAAATATTTGGTAAATGGTGGTTACTATTACTCTTATCATTATATAACAAGTATGCCCACAGATGGTCTCCATTTTGTAGATAAGAAATACAACCAGTGAAATGACTTGATCCAAGGAAAAATTGTGAAAAGAAACTGAACTCTAGATTTGTAGTTAATTCAGCATATCTATATTCTATTGAAATACAGGCTCATGAATGCACTGTGCTGACTTTAGATCTTTGTACGTGGTCTGGTCTCTTTATTTGGGCTGCTCCCTGTCCCCCTCTCCCTTTACTCTTTGAAGGGACCAAATTCATATGATCTGAAGTTCCTAGCTGAGACTTCAGTGTCTTAGGATTTCTTTTCTTCCCTGGGTTGGGTCCTCTCCACTGTGCTCCCCAAACTCACTGTCCTTATCTCAAAACACGCACTTAACCCATTATACTTAATTTGCCTATTTATTTTTCTCTCTTCCTCACTTTATTATTGCACACTCATCTCTACATACACAGCATCTAGAAAGTAGTCAACAAATGTCTATTGGATTGTTTTATTCATGAGAACTTCCTGTTAACTCTGTTGTTGCTTACTTTTTAATTGCAGGGTAAAGATAGATAAAATAGGGCAAAAGAAACTTATAGACAAAAAGGAAAAAAACTATAAACTGGTAAAGGAGTCATAACTTTAAGGTGACTGTCAAATGTATCTTTATTTATAGTAGGGGAAAAAAGCTGGAATTATGCTTTGTTTTCATTCCAGTAGTATCAAAGAGCATCTAATTATAATCAGAACATCTGGGTTTAAATCTTAGCTCCAACACTAAATAATTTTGTTATCCTGAGAAAGTTGGTTAATGCATCTGAATCTCAATTATCTTCATCAAGTAGGATAACAATTCTATTTAAGATGGTTCTGAGATGAAAATGCAAATATAAATTATAAAATTGATGAGTATTAACTAAAAATAGAAAATAGGATGCATCCCTTTCGAGTATTAATTTAAAAACTGTCTCCTTTAACTATTAATTTTAAAAACACTTGTTATAAAATTTTTGCTTTAAAAAAGTTCAAGTGCTACTATGGATTACCTAGCTTTCATTTATTTATCCAATCATTTTTCCCCCCAGAGCTGGGAATAATACAACACAGGATCTTGCAATGTTAGGTAAGTGCTCTAGCACTGATTTATACCCCATCCCTCATCTAGTAAATATTTATTAAGCACCTACTATGTGGTAGGCACCATTCTAGGAATTATGGATTCTGTAGCGAGCAAAGTTAAAACTGCATTTCTATGGAGTTGACATTCTAGTGGGAAGGTATCAATGTTAAGATACCTGGTGGCTTAGACAGGAAGATCGGAAGTTTAAGGCCAGCATAATTTAGCAAGGCCCTAAGCAACTTAGTGAGATCCTGTCTCAAAATAGAAAATAAAAAGGAATGGGGATGTGACCCAATGGTAAAGTGTTCCTGGGTTAAATCCTTCATACCTAAAAGAAAATGAAGTAGAACAAGGGAAATGGTGAGGGAGGAAGAAAGTTATGTTGTCTTAGCTAGGAAGGTGGAGCAAAGATTCTAATGTGGAAAAGTTAGTCATGAGACCAACTAGAGTGGGGGACAAAAAATGTTCCTGATTGATGAAGAAATGTCAAGGCCTAAAGAGAAGAGTGTTTGGTGTGTTTGAGTCAAGACCAATGTGCCAAGTGAGTGAAAAACAAGAATGGAAGGAAATAAAGCCTGAAATGTATAAAACCAGATCATATTAGGCATTGCAGACCATGGAAAGGAAACAGATGACATGGTTTTTAAAAAGCTCCATTGTGGTCGCTATGCAAAGAATCAAGTTGAACAAGGCAAGAGTAGAAGTGAGCAGATCAGTTGGAAAACAATTGTACTCTGCAAGGATAACAGTGGCTTGGACCAAGAAGTACTTAAAGTGGGAGGTGGTGAGACATGGGCAGAGTTTGAAATATCTTTTGAAAGTAGAGCGGAATGATTTGCTGACAGATTGAAAGTGGGATATGAGAAAAGAGCAAAATCAAAAGAGATTATATTAAAGTCTCTTTTAATTATGGCCTGAACAACTAGCAGAATCATTGGTGGGATGAGGCAGGAGTGGGTTTCAGGAAGGGAAACCATAAGTTAGTTCTCTGAGATATTTCATCTGGGGTGTTCAGGGTGACATTTGGCTTGTATTATTTTTTATTTGAATGCATTCCTACCCTTTACAAATTGAAATGTTGATTTTATGCCACTTTTTTTTTTTGGTACTGGGTATTAAATTCAGGGACACTCAACCACTGAGCTACATCCTCAGCCCTTTTTATATTTTATTTAGAGACAGGGTCTCACTAAATTGCTTAGAGCCTTGCTAAGTTACTGAGGCTGACTTTGAACTCAAAATTCTCTTGCCTCAGCCTCCAGAGCGGCTGTTATTACAGGAATGCACCACCATACCTGGCGATTTTATGCTACTTTCAAAATAAGAATGAGTCATTGCCCCTGTCAGCAGATCATGGTATTGGTGGAATGGTACCAAGTTGAAAACGAAACAATTAATGTGGCATCAGTCATCAAGACAGACTTTAGTAAATCATGTAAACCAATTAAGTCACACAGAAAACTTACTTTGCTGAGTCTATTTTTTTCCTAGGACTTTTCCTGAAGAAAGGATCTATCCTAAAAACTTGTTTTGTTTTATAAAACAAAACTTGATGCTAATACCTTGGAGTATAATTTTCAAGTCATACTAATTCAGCATTATATTATTATTATATGGGGAGGGATGCTGGGGATTGAACTCAGGGGCACTCAACTACTGAGCCACACCCCCAGCCCTCTTTTATATTTTATTTAGAGACAGGGTCTCACTGAGTTGCTTAGGGCCTCACTAAATTGCTGAGGCTGGCTTTGAACTTGCAATCCTCCTGCCTCTGCCTCTGGAGCAACTAGGATTATAGGTGTGCACTACTACTCCTGGCTTATTATTATTTTCTTTTTAAAATTTTTTTCCTCCATGGTACTGGGGATTGAACCCAGGCCCCTCAGTCTGCTAGGTAAACACTCTACCACTGAGCCATATCCCCAGCACTTTTATTTTTAAAATTTTTATTTTGAGACAATTTCTTGATAAGTTTCCCAAGTTGGCCTTTAACTTGCAATCTTCCTGCCTCAGCCTCCCAAGTAGCTGGGATTATAGGTGAGGGCCACTACTATATCTATCTAATGCTACCCTTCTTTAGGATTTTCTTAAGAGTTGTTCTTCGACTCTGTTGTTGGAAATATCATGTGGTATAAATGAATCACTTATTTAATATGACTATTTAAATTGGGGCATTGACAAGAAAATTGACAAAAACCTTATATGAAGTAATTTGAATCCAAATAAAATTATTGATGTTTTCTTACTATGAAATGTCATTAATTATTCATTCATTGTCTTATTTTTATTAGTAGTGTTATTTCATTTATTTTTGGTGCTGGGGATTGAATGCAGGACCTCAAGCAGGCTAAGCACATGAAATATCATTAGATTTAATGAGGGTGAGGAGATACTGATCAAAGTGTACAGAAATAAATAGAAATAAATAGTTCAATTAGAAATAAATAGTTCTGGAGATTTATTGTATAGCATGGTGACTATAGCTAATAACAATGCAATGTGTACTTGAAAATTGCTTGAAGAATAGATCTTAAAGGTTCTCATCACACACACAAAAATAATATGTGAGATGATGGATATGTTAACTAGCTTGATTCATCATCCCACAATATGTATATATACCATATATATATATATACATACATATACATATATCAAAACATTATGCTGTATATCATAGATACATATACTTTTTATTTGTTAATTAGATCTTAATAAAATTTTTTAAAAATGAAACTTTTTATACATGTTGTAAACATTGCTCTGCATTCATTATAGTGTGGAACATATCCATTAACAAACAAACAAAAACCCCCATAAAACTCAAACCCAGTCTCTAGGTCAACACAAAAATAGCCTAACATTTAATAATTATTTATAAAGAAAGCCCAGAATAGGAAAAGATAAGCATGTTTAAGTTATTCACCTTCAAATGGGGATGAACAACTAACCTGCTGATTCCCTAGGTTTATTTGCGAAAGTACTTTTAAAATGTACAGCACTATTCAAATTGAAGAAGATCCTTTTATGTCAGAGCACAGTGGCACACACTGGTAATCCCAGTGACTTAGGAGGCTAAGGCAGAAGTATTGAACATGTTCAAGGCCAACCTCAACAACTTAGTGAGAAATAAAAATAAAAAGATAAAAGGAACTGGAAATGTAGCTTAGTGGTAGAGCACCTTGAATTCAATTTCTAGTACCTTGGGGGTGGGGTGGGGTTGGGGAAGATAATCCTTTTTTGCTGATAAGTAATTATGCTTAGAACTTTCTTTAGGAAAATAATAATAATAAATTATTAAACTTTGCTTCTTCTCCTTAATGCTGGTATTGACCTATTTGTTTTGCTTTCTGTATCTCATAATGTCACACAAGAGAAGTTTCTAAATTTCTTTCGGAGAAACTCTTGCTTAGCCAAGAACCAAATCCCAGTACATAGGAACTGGTTCTGTAGAGATGTGTCCACGTCACCTTTTAAAAATTTGACTGCCGATGGGTTACCCTATTATAATGTCCATCCCCTCACTATTTCAACGATCACCTCCAAGTCAGTTTTATTTCCAATCTATTTTGGGTGTGAAAGGCATTGGTAATTTAATAAATTAGTATATACAGTGTTACGAGTCAGTGCTTGAGGTATGCGGTTATGCTATACCAATAATAATATAGAAATGATACAAGACTCATTCTCTCAAAGACTTTTCAGTTGAAAGGAAGAAAAACAGCAAAGATAGATACAGACAAATGTATTTCTTAGAAAAGCATGTTGAAATAAAGAGGCAGAGCCTAGATAACACATAGGAATAGAAGTGGGGATTTGTTAACTAGAGACTTTCCACTAAAGGGCAAAGGCTAAAGGAACGAGAAGTGCATGGGCCATTCTCTCATTGTTTCAATCAAAGGGTAGGAAAGAAAATAAAGATTTCATTTAAGAGGGATAAAAAGAGTTTGGCTATTAAGAAACAGTATTCATGTTAGAGTATTTAGAAGAGGCTAAATCTATTAAGGTTACTGAAGATTAATTGAATTTGAAAGACAAAATAAATGGTATAAAAGTATAAATCTTAGGGCTCACAGAAAGCCTAATGGAAGGCAAACAAAAAGACTTCAGGAATCTAGGATTAAAAAGGGGTTTGGGGCTGGGGGTTAGCTCATTGGTTGAATGCTTGCCTAGCCTATGCAAGGCCTGAGTTCCCCTCACCCACAAACGGGGGAGGTTTGGTGGTAGTCATACAAGTGATTGGCATGGGAGGTTTCTCTCTCTCTCCTTCTCTCATGAGTTCACTATTCATAGAGGACTAAGCTGCTATATAGGAAATTCCAAAGGAGAAATCTTTGTCAATCCTCATTAACTCCAATATTTCTTATTTTGTATTTTAAATTTTAAAAAACCCAAGAAAAAAAAAATTAACATTTTCATTCTGTTTTAGCCTTCAACTATTTGTATGAATTTTTCCTCAACATTTTTTATTTGTACATTATAATTGTATAGACCAATGGGATTTGTTGTTACATATTTGTATATGTAAACAATATATTGATATTAATTTTTAATTTTAGGTAGTTAAGGTTTGGAAGAAAGATTAACTTCTCTAATTAAGTTGACATAATAGGTTTGCTAGATTGAGAGAGGAATAGGTGCCCCAAATAAACTTGAGATCTCAAGACCTAGTTCTAGTTCAAGTGTTTGGTGGGAAGGCTCTGCTGGGCCCCTCCCTGAGTGTGCATTGTGACTCCAGGGGGAGGGCTAAGTACCAGGCAGCTTGTACAGGGCTGTCAAGGTGACTCTAGTTATATATGAGATCTGAGAACCCTTTGACTGCAGGTAAATAATAATACCGACTTTTGTTTCCACCAAAAATATATCTGTTCAAACTTTGTTCTTACATTTATAAACAGACTATTCTGTCTATACCTGGGTTGTTCCTTTAAATACATGTGCAATGCTCCAGTCGTTTTAAAAGCACTTTGTTAACTGTTTTCAAAATTTATGAAAATATCTCTCTGGTGCTTGATTATCTTTCATCTCCCAGGAAAGGGAAAAGGCTGTTAAGAAAACCCCTTTCATTTTTCTGTCTTGTTATTGGCAGTAACACCACAAGGCCAGCAACGTCTTTGTCAAATCTCAATGTGAATGAAGGAAATGAATTATTCTGAGGTTAGTATTAATCGCCTTCTATTTTCAGGTTAGTGAGCTGAGACTAGTATTCCTGTCACATATAGGAATTAATTGTTGAAAAACTGAGCTGTCACCTATTCACATACAAGTATTAGTTTGTTAAAACAGAATCTGATTTACCTACTGTCCAATTTCTTCAAAAGTAAATATGCAAAAAGTGTGACTTCTAAAACCAGCTTAGATAAAAATTCAAGTTCCTACCATCCATGAATTGCAGTTCTGAGTCTGTTCCACTAAATATGGGCTTTGGAAGCTCGTTGTAACAGAAATATATAATATTCAATATTATAATTGATAGATGTATGGAAGGCTGGGGGGTTTTTACATTATTGTCAGTTCCAATAGTGTTAGCCATATGCTATAAGTGGGGATAGAGACAACCTTCCAGAACTTGGATAGTGTCCAACTGTTTGTTTCATAGTCCATTATTAAAAGATTCTGTAATGCCTGAAAGTTCGTCTCTCAATATGCATGGAAATATAGTGTGTATATATTTCAGATATCCTCAAATGGCCTTGAATTCAAATATTTTGCTTGTTTTCAAACAATGCATCTGATAGTATATCTTACTGTTTGTTTTTAAAATGTTTATTATAGCTATAAGATCCTTAATTTTAATCAATGGAAGATTTATTCTCGTGTAATCACTGACATATTTGAGGAAATTCAATCATGAAAGGTCAATATGAAGTATAGACAGTCTTGATTTCCTAGGAAAGGACTATGGATTCGATGTGAATGTCAGAGTTATTATAAATTAAGGAAAAACTATAAAGTTAGGGAAAAAATTCTAGTTTAGACCTTGTAGAATTCATTTCATTATTACTAAAGTGAAAGTGATTGAGTCATCAAAATGTTTTGAAAACTAGATATGTTTTATTTCTTCAAAACTGAATGATGCTAAAAACAACTTCAATAAGTATGTAAAAATCTGTTGATAAAAATTTCTTAACACCATTACCATACTCTTCATTTTTGGGGACTGGAAATACAGAGTAATTCATCTTTTCTCTTTTATTGTTTATACAGTTTTAAAAATATATTTAAAAAATGTGCATCTAATTACTGCTAATAGTGCAATGTTCCAGGCCAAACATTTGCCACTGACTGTCAAGTGTCTTTCTGATGCAGCTGGGGAAAGAGAGAGAGAGAGAGAGAGAGAGAGAGAGAGAGAGAAAAGGAGAAAGAAAGAGCAATGTCCCTTGAGCAAGACTTTCTGCAGCTGTTGTGTACATTAATCCAGGGAGCAGATCTCCCAAAACTAAATATAGCAAAGCATATCCTTTTACATGATAAAAAAAAATTTAAATGAAAGTCTTCAACTATGGAGTCACATTATTTTAGATTTGATTTCCTTTAAAAAGGAAATGGCATCTCACACATATTCCCTGCATAAAGAACATTATTTTAATAAATGAAGTGTGGAAAATGTCTGTGATAGTCACAACATATCACAACTTCCTCTAAAAAAAAATATTTTTCTTTAGTACTGAAATAGGCTATGATCTCTATGAGTCTCATCAATCTCCTCCAAAAGATTTACATGTAGAAAGTTTTACTTTTTACTTAAGTATGTGTCCCATCATACATAATTAGAAAGTTAGCCTAAGTTTCACTCTAAGTAGTAGTGATTAGTTCTCTGAAATATTCCTTTTCCCATTGTCAGTGCCCTGTTATCAAAACACACTTGTGAGCTTCAATGTGGACATTACCTTTCTTTTTTTAGTTGACCCAGATGGGGATGTCCAACCCAGGCACTCCAACCGCGATGATTATTTTCCAAGGAGAACTTTCAGATGAAGGCACAGGAGAATAGGAAAATTCTTCACGCCCTTCGAAGTAGAGAGTAGCCGTCCATAGAGAGTGAGGAGTTAACCTTAGTTTCAGTGAAGATGGCTGTAAGAAGCTGGACAACCTGTCACCACCGGAGCCAGAGCATTTGTCAGCTCACAGGTCCCAAGTTATTTTGAGCTGTATAAACCATGTGCCTGTGAAACATTCCACCTGATTGGACAGGAGAAAACTGAGCAAAGGGATTCCATAGCAGGACAGCACCTATGGGGGGTGGGGGTCAATTGGATTTTCTACCTAAAGGATTTTACTTACATCTGGGAGTCCAAAAATATGTGTCAAATGATGTTTGAAATTCATACTAAATGCTGTATATAGTTGTATATACTGATGAAAATGGCATTAATTTTAAAACAGATCAAAATACTTCATTTATAAGATCCTTAATTTTAATCAATGGAAGATTTATTCTCACGTAATCACTGACATATTTGAGGAAATTCAGTCATGAAAAGCAGAGGCCTAAGGTTTTAAAGCAGAACTTTTTTGAACTATTGGTCCAAAATCTAAGCAAAAGCATAGAACATAACTAATACTCAAAGTTGCTAATTAGAATTCACAGGGGAAAAGAAGAGGAAAAACCCGTTAGCCTGAGAATCAACTTTGGAACAAATTAGTTTGAACAAATCTCTTCAGGAAAACAAATCAGATACTGCTTAAAAGTCAAAATGTCTAAATAACATAGTATATTACAATTCAAAAGTACTTGGGAATAACTTCTTGTATATTATTTAGAAAAGTACAACACTAGCTGGGCGCAATGGTGCTTGCCTAGTATCCGAGCTACTTGGGAGGTGGAGGCAGGAGGACTGCAAGTTCAAGGCTAGTCTGGACAATTTAGCAAGACTCTGTCTCAAGATAAACACTTTTTTAAAAGGGCTGGGGTTGTAGCTCAATGGTACAGAGTACTTGACTAGCAAGTGCGAGATTTTGGGTTCCATCCCCAGCACTGAAAACAAAAAAAAGGTAATGATAGATATATATCTTCTTTCACAAGCACTACCAATCAGTAAGGGAAAAAAATCCTTAGCTAGACCAACAACTACAAAATACTTACTTTCATAAAGGTATAGCTCTTTGATATTAATTTCAGACATTTTTAGAAAATGAATTTGAATAAAAAGCCCTATTGGTTAATACAGATTAAGTGATGCTGTAATGTTATTAATCTTGTTAGAAGCCTGGGTTTTGAAAATTCAGGCCAAAGCCACTGATTATCATTTAAAACATTTGTTCTGAGATTCCAATAGCATGAAATAGATAAGTTTAAATCTAATTTTATAATTTAATTACTGAATTGCTTATAGGGTTTCTTCCCATTCATTCATTCAACAAATTTGTACTTAATTGTTACTATAAACCATGTACTAGTTATAAAGCAGAGCCCAAAATACACTATATTTCCTGACATCATGGAGTTTACTAAGAGATCTTCTTCAGTCATTTTGAGACTATCTACAGTACATTAAATAAAGATAAAATTTCTTTGGTTATTGTGCTCACATCAGAGATTTTATTACTTTTTTTTTTTTTTAAGTACTAGGGACTCAACCCAGGGGTGCAATACTTAGCTACATCCCAGGCCTTTTTGTTGTTGTTGTTTTTGAGACAGGGTCTCACTAAGTTTCTGAGGCTGGCCTTGATTTTGTAATCCTCCTTCCTCAGCCTCTTGAGTAGCTGGGATTACAGGCGTGAGCCACTGTGTCTGGCTCACTACACCTTTTATTATAGGGCTTTATGTTCACACAGGCAAAACAAAACAAAACAACAACAACAAAAGAATTTAAAAACTTTTTAAATAATTCAAGTGAAAAAAGGAAAAACTATTTTCAAGGAAAGAAAAATGATTCAGAAAGGGCTGAATTATCTGGGTAGGTTATTATTACCAAAGAAATTCAGATCCTCAATGAACAGGTTCATTTACTCTCTTACCTAATTCTGTGCTGAAACAAACATCAAGAATACTTACTTTAGTTGGGCCTGGTGGCACATGCCGTAATCCCAACTGAGGCAGAAGGATTGCAAGTTCAAAGCCAGCCTCAGCAATTTAGTGAGGCCCTAAGCAACTTAGCAAGACCTTGTCTCAAAATAAAAAATAAAAAAGGTTGGGAATGTTGCTCAGTGTTAAAGCACCCCGGGTTCAATCCCTGGTGCCCCCCAGCCCAAAATGAATACTTAATTTTATTTCTGCATTTTCTGTTTATGTATATACTCCAACAAATTCTTTTTACTTAAAAGAAAGAAGGGCTGAGGAATGTAACTCTGTAGTAGAGTGCTTGCCTAGCAAGTGTGAGGCACTGGGTTCAATTCCCCAGCAAAACCAAGGGGAAGGTAAAAGAAGAATTACAGAAGAAATAAGCCATGGAAATTCTGATTTCTCTTTCATTCTTTTTTTTTTTTTGGTACTATTTTCAAATATAGTCAGCATACAAAATTTTTTGTTTTCTAAAAAATGCTAGATACAAATATTCGAGTATTATTTAGTAACTGTGAGCACCTTGCTTACAATTCATTAAACTCATATTCTAGATTTTTGTTTTTTTAAAACTAGCTTCTGTTTCTACATAACCTAGTCCCTACCTTGCTTATGATCAGTAATAATTATATAAACATGATATCACAAGCCTACTAGTTCAGAGTTTACCAGAATTTACTGGTACAAAGAATAATCTTTAAAACTTTTTAATATCCAACATAGTTAAAAACAAACTCCATTAGTGATAAGCAAACACAAGGTTACATGTCTTAAGCTTTCCCCATAAAGCTGAGTGGTCCATCCAACACATGTGTTTATTGTGGTTTAAACATGATCCTGTGCTTGCCCTCAGCTGTTTTCTTAATTCAGTCACTCAGCTACAGAAACAATTTACTCACATTGGGATGATCCACAGGAATGCTGAGGAATCTGGAAAATCTATGGCAGAGGAAGTCTTCACTTGGAGAAGAAGCATGAGAGAATTTCCTTGCTGGTAGATTCGTACAAAATTTGTATTTGCTATTTTTTCATTTTGCCATAGGCTTTAATTATTTAAGAGAAATTGCTCACATATAACCAAAGCTTCAATAAGTTTTGCTCACCATTCACAGATTTATGTTGAGGTATAGCCCTCCAGTGTCAGATAAAAAAACAAAACCAAATTTCTGTGTCCTATTTTCGAAGACCAAAGACATGTATATATTTTCTAACCTTTTGTAATGAGAAACATTTTCACACCAGAAGCAAGTACTTGACCATCCAAAATAATAGTTAAGTGGTAGATTATAGAGCCTTATACAAACCCTGTGATATCATGGAGACATACAATAAAATCCTTAAGAAATTTCTTTTTCATCTAAACGGTTTTGAAAATGTTTGCCTGGGAAAACTAAAAACATTAAAAATAATTTTTTAAATTCAAAACATATTTCATTTTAAAACTAAAAACATTAAAAAAAAAACTTAACAGAACACCTGTTTAAAAGTATGATACTGATATTGAAAAGCAAATTTATAGTTACCTGTCTCGGGAGAGGCACCATTCCTACATCAATCAACCAGGATCATCTAAAGTCCAAATCTCACTGCCTAACTTGTGTCAGCCACAAAAGTAGCATGAAGGAAATGTGATACTGCCGCGCCAGAGCAATGAAGAGTATTTACAGGGTTCCGTTGCAGATCCAGGGACAGTAGTTTAGAACAGATTGCTCTTTCAGATCAACTTTAATAACTCAGTCTGTATGATGTTCTTTGCCTGGAGGGATAGTGGGGGTGGATAATAACTAAGATAATGAAGATGACTAAGGAAACAGGCTTTCTTGAGCTCTTTGACCAGTTGAAGATGATAGTCAAGACATTATAAAGAATGAAGTGCAAGAAAAAAAGAAGAAAGCAAGTGTAAAGAATGCACAAGATATCCACATAGGTCATGTAATTGTCTTTATTGGTACAAAACTGAGGTTATGGTTAATGCATTTCGTAAAATAAATATGGGAAAACAGCAATCTTTATAATAAATACTTCATATTTGGCCATCCTTTAGAGTAATGGAAGTATTGATGTGGATTTAGAACACAATAAGGCTTCCTTTAATTGTGTACATATCAAAATTTGTACTTTTTAAGAAGTATTATTTCCAAGAATAAAATCAGTTCCTATAACTTTTTTAAAGAGCATTCCGGGGCCAGGTACGGTGGCACATGCCTTTGAGATCAACCTCAGCAACTTAGTGAGGCTCTAAGTAACTTAGTAAGACTCTGTCTCAAAATAAAAATAAAAAGTGCTGGGATGTGGCTCAGTGGTTAAGTGCCTCTGGGTTACATCCCCAGTACACCCCCCCCACACTCACACACAAAGAAAAAAGAAAAAAAAAAAAGAAAGAAAAGAGCAAAGAGCATATTGGTTGGGGGTGGAGCTCAGGGTAGAATGTTTGCTTAGCATGCACAAGATATGGAGTTCAATCCCAGCATCAAAAAAAAAAAAAAAAATAAATAAAAAACAAAAGAACATCCTCTGACACAAAGTTACTAAAAAAAAAAAACCCAAACAATTAGTATTGTGTATACAGTCTTTTTTTTTTTTTTTAATAAAAGTATACCAAAGTTTATTAGGAAAGAAAGTACACTGAAGAGGGAGAGAGTTTAGGACAAGAAAGTCATCTCCTTATGTATAGTTTGTCTGTCTGTCTGTCTCTCTCTCTTTTTTTTTTTTTTTTTTGGTACTGGAAATTGAGCCTGGGAGTGGGAAGGGGTGAGGGTGGGGTTTTCCCATTGAGCCACATCCTCAGCTCTTTTAATTTTTTGTTTTGTGATGGCTAAGTTGCTAAAGATGGCTTCGAATTTGTAATCCTCCTGCATAGTTGGAATGACTATATATGTAGTGTTATAATCTTGAAGGTATACAGTTGATTCTTACTTTCTACTTCCCACACATGAATATAATGATTATATTAATATAATATCTTGGTAGAAATAAGTTAACATTCCTAGCTGTGGGCTAGGTACTGTGC